GATTGGTTGACGTTAATCTTGAAAGGGCTTTTCACATTAATAAAACCGTGCGTAAATATCAGTATCTATATAATAAATATATATCCCATATGTTTCCAGCACAAATTTGTTTCTCGTTCATCATTTAAGACAAATCACAAACTTATAAATAACCAACATGAAAATGAGGCCATTGGGTCAAAAGTGGATAAACAGCATTAAGGTCTATTAACCCACTAGCTAACTCTGTCTAACGCCAGACAAATTTACACTGCATGTGTAACGCCAGACGATTTTACTTGTCAGTGGTAGAGTACTGTCAGTAAATGGGTTAACAATTAAGCATATCTGCCAATGTTTCTTATTAACAACTTTAGTATTTACTGTCTATCAACGCCAGACAATTTTACTCGTCAATAGGTGCCAGTTTCTAATCATGTATTTACTCACCGCTTGGCCAAACATTCTTTATTTCATATCGAGAAAAAAATTTGAATATCTGTTCTAAACTCTTCAGAATTTTCTCAGAGTCACATCTCCACCGAATTCAAATCGAAATTTCGACTATACATAACTCGGTTAGGGTGACTGGACACGAAAAAGCAAGAACGTCATGTAACGTCAAGAATAGTGTGCTGCCTCGCTAACGCTCGGCAGCAAATATGCGTTTTTAATGCACACATTGAGATTCCACAATGAAATATATTACAATTAAATTAACAAGGTAAGACGGTGCTTGTCTTGTTTTACCAGATAAACTCGACTCCTCTACTCCCTGTTCTCAGCACACAAACAATGCTTTTGATATTAATTACAATTCTATTTTAGAACCATCCTCAGAGACACGAAAAACTAGTTTCATATTAATCTATGAAACTAGTACTTGTTCTAATTACAAATCCGTCAAGGTTTAAATTTAATTTTCGAAATCATATCTGTCAATTTTTGATATTTTATGCAGAACCCTACATGCATTATATCATATTGTTGATTATGCTGAAAAATAAACATGCACCTGTACGCTGGCATCCCTGCACGTCTAGTTATCTTCAAGCAACGGCTCTAGCATTTTTCTTGTTAAAACAGTTGAAAATTTTATAGGAAAAACTATTGTATAAGTCTCACCGTTCCAAGACTCCGTAGCATAACCACCGAAGATGAAGTTACCAACTTTTATTATGGTTACGGTTGGTTTCTTGTAGTCACAGTTTCCATGGAAGGTACTGGCTGCCCATCCATGCTTGGTTGCACGCCAACACAGCTTCCTATTAGAGCTTGATGTGGTTCCCAGGGGCGGATCTAGGGGTCGTCAAACCAGTCACGCGACTAACGTAAAAATTGCAAACTTAATTAAAGTCTTAAATATTCGACAAATAGTCCAGTTATTTTTATCATGCAGCGACACCTTATAGTCCAGTATCTATTATCATGCAGCGCTAGCAATTAACATTCCAATCGAACTGTAGTCCAGTGATCAAATTTCATACAGTGGTTGAGCCGACGAGCTTAGTCAAGTCAATGAGCAGCTGACATACGCAAAGCCGGTCAGTCAAAAAGTCTAAATCCAGTGTTTTGATTGGTCTAGACGCTTATTGCCATGGTAACAAGCGATTTTTTGCGATTTTGACTGATCTGTGGGGAGTTCTGACCGATTTACAAAAGTCAGGGGCGCTCCATTAGTCGGAATATCATTAATATTTGACGCATGAAAGTCTTTCCGAGCGCGCGCTCATTCGAAGTCTCATGTTGTAGCCTTGTCGAAAGATTCAATTTAAAGATATCTACGGAAAATTCGGAAATGTCTGCTGCTCAAGACTCCAGTCCTTGTAGTATTCATAAAACAGTTCAATCCACATTTGCGGTGAATGATTTAGCTGTCTTACAAGACTGTTGCGCTGATCTTGGGAGGAAAATCAACGCTAAATATCGGAGAGTTCCATTCAGTGAGCAGTTGCTAAGCGGCGTAAGCGCCACGAATAGCACGAACTACAGTTTGACTGTTTGAGTAGAAGTATTGGCGCCGAGATCTTTATTCTGAAGTGCAATAAGGTAAATTTAATGTGATCATGATATGTAAATTCTATTTCGTTTTAGACAGCATAACAATATTTATAAGCGAACAAGATGCGCGCCATGTATATGTAAAATTGTAACTTGAATACGCGTATCTTGATTTAGATTTAGCTATGAATTTTGATTTACACAACAAAATTTGCATTAATATGGAGGATAACCTATATAAATGCATTAATGCAGTGTACATACTAGGATATAAAGGTCAGGTTTTATAGATGAATGCTAAGGCTATATAAGACTAATATTGATATGTTTATTTGAGAAATATGACACTGTAGTGATTACTAGTCAAGTCAAGTGATCAATGACTCAAGGCTATTAGGCAACAAAAATGAGTGCAGTACTATTAAACATAATACTAGCAATCCGTAATTTGATAATATGAAACATTTTCCACAATTATCACATTTCTGCAAGTACTTCTCCTTTACTTTTCCCTAAGGAGCGAGTTGTGAGAGTCAGTCAGACTGATAGTTGCTATAATTATCTCCCATTTCATGAAGTTAATTTTTTGTTGAAGCTGCTTTCAGAGTGATGCAAATTGCGTTTCGGACGTTTAAAAATATAAAAATTTCTGGGGGACAGACCCCCCTAGGTGCCTCGCGCATTCGCCGCACGCAAAACTAGATTGTACATCCGAAAACTTTGACTAACGTACGAAAAATCCTGGATCCGCCCCTGGAAGTTAAGTTTTCGAGAAAGTTAGCTGGTTCTCCAGATAATATGGCGGAGTCTAAATAAGAATAAGAACATGATGAAATATATATATATATATATATATATATATAGTTGGAAAGCCCTGATTATCCCTTATTCATGCACCAAAGCTGCAATATTAAGAAATGTAATAATTTGTCCAATACCATATCACACAGTTACTGACAGTATAGTTTACTTCCGGTTGCTGTTCATGGTTCTTTAAACCAGCTGTACAATGTATTTATATGGAAGCTGGGCTGGACCGCTTAGCGGGACAGCCCGGTAAGCAAGATCTTACTGCATTAGGTATATTTATCTAGAAAAAATTATCATGTGTTTATATGGATCTACAAGCAGACTGGCTCTGATGCCACAATGTTGCTTATCGGGATGAAAATTTCTCCACATATACACTCACAAGCAGGCTGGGCCAGGATGAATGTTCAAAGATGCCGAGCTGCAAGCTATTTTTAACAACTGTCAAAACAATGTCAACATAACAAAATTGTCCCGGCAAGCAGGATGGCATTTTCTCATATAAACACAATCTTGAACTGTATTAGTGATGCATCGATATATGGAAATTCACTGATATTCTGATAACTGATAATAAAAGACCAATACTTTGCCGATACCGATAATACATGTCATTTCACGATATTCAAAGATGACTGATACACCAATATGGATATCAGTACATCAGTAGGCGAGTTACCCGGCAAGGTGAGTTACTCACTCAGGCAGGACAAAAAGCAGTCTATTTATATGAAATCAAGTTACGCCATTATTGCTGCGCAATGACAAAATACAAACACAATTTGGATCATTCAAAAGGTTTAAAAAACATGATTACAAAATAGGCAAGAATAAGCTGCTAGAAATAGAGGAAAGCTATAAACATACCTAATGATTTGTATGTATTTTTGGGCTATTATTTTAAATGAAAGGCATAGACATTCTATCTAGGGTTGCAGAGTTTCCCGGGTGAAGTATAGTAAGTCGGGAAAACTAAACATTCTCTACAGTAGCCAAGTTATCCGGCAAGGCAAGTAGGAAAATCCTCTGGCATTAGACAGAGTAAACAATAAAGTAGGATGCAATTCAGTTATTCACCTATCTATACACTGAAAATATCAGATTAAATGCTGTCATTCTCCTGTAATTCCAATCCTTATTCAAGTATTAAAATGCTAACAAAATGCAAAAACATCCGTATGTATATCTTATTTCATATCACTATATAGCCTTGAGTCTTGACATTTGAAAGGTCTAGCAAACTGCCAATGTCAAAGGCAATTTAGTAATGTCAAATTTTTAATATTAGTGCGTAAATTAGTATGGAATTCACAATAATAGATATGAATTTATATTTTAATCTTTCGTCCCTTGCCTGAAAGCAACATTTGCATGTTTTATATGCAAAACAAACGCGGCAAATTCAAACATTCAATGGAATATTTTCACACTTCGCTCAAGTAAACAGTCATAATCACTACATTATTTCGCAATGAATCTGTTTAAATAACAAGTCAAATATACAATTATTCTTACCTGTGGTATCTGAACAACATTTTAAGGACTTTCTGATGCTTTTCCCATCGTTATTTGCCATTTAATTTGCCTTGAAGGCGCTCATGGATGTTTATATAAAACTTTTCACAAAAATGTAAAACGATGCTCGCGATGCTCCGCGTTCATCCTCGTTCCCAGGGCTTCTCGGCTGCCTGCGTTGCCGTAAGCCCTCAATCTCGTACCCAGAGCAATGCCTGTACGCGGGCTAGGATGGCATTGGCTCTGGGGAAATTGAAAACCGGAACCCCTAAATTCTGGGGTTCCGGTTGTTGTGAGCATGCTCAAAAGCCCAACCGCTTAAACACGGAGAGTTCAGACTGCAGACTCCAGCGTATTATTTATGTTTGGAAATCATATAATTTCATGGTGCAATAATACAGTTTTCTGACATTGAAATGATTGAATACGCCGGGCTTGAATCAGAAAAGGTATGGTTTAAAGTTTATAAAATTTGTTATTTATACTGGCTATATTCACCGCATATCAGTTTGTTTATATAACGTCTTATTATTTTTATAATATGTTTTTCAAGAATTTGAGATACCGTACTGAAGTTTATATAATAATTAATTTATTAAAAACTGTTTTAAAATAAATAAACTTTAATAGACTCGCCCATTTTAACGTTTACCCTAGGTTCCATAAGAAATATACGCTCCGTAAATTGCTACAATATGAGCTGCTTGCTAAATAATGCTATACAAATTGCGATAAATAAGCTATATTCACATGATGTAAAACTGAAAGATGAACAGTTCCGTGCTGTAGAATCAGTCTTGCGTGGAAAGGATGTATTGGCTGTGTTGCCCACTGGCTTTGGCAAGTCGCTAATATATCAAATATTGCCCGATGTATTCGATTATATGTCGGCAAATTCACATTTGAGAGAAAGATGTGTTGGTTCGTTGATTTTGGTCGTGTCGCCGTTAAATGCGCTAATGTGCGATCAAATTACAAAGTTAAATAAGGCTGGAATTCAATCATTTATGGTAACAGAAGTGGTTTCAGAAAATGAAAAAGCACAATATCATATTTCTGTAAAGTCTTTAAAAGAACTATCCTGTACTTGCAAAATCCTTTATTTTCATGCAGAATTATGCGTCAAGAATAAGTCTTTTTTCAATGTCCTTAAGTCTCCAGGATTTCAAGAAAGGGTTAAGTGTTTAGTTGTTGATGAAGCCCATCTTATTAAAGAATGGTATGATAACTGTATACCATAATTTGCATTCAGTTATATTTTATTTGACATGTATTGAGTCATAATGGTATTTTACAATATTGCCTTTAATATACACCCCCCCCCCCTATGGATGAGAATTTCTGAGGGGGTTTGAAAAAGCCATTTCTGAGGGGTTGTGTGCATTGGCATCCTTTGATCTTTGCGTTTTTTTCTTGAGGGGTAAGGCAAAATTTCTTAATTTCTGGGGGGGGTGTTTGTGTCAGCACTTTGATCTTTTTTTCTTAGGGGTTCAAATTTTATTGACCTCGTCCATAGGGGAGTGTGTACATTAAATGGAATGGCCCCCTACATACGTACTGTGCATAGAATCAACTGGGATTTACACTGGTCAATAGAGGTGTGCAAATCCAAAGTCACTTTGTCATCTTCTTTTCATGCATATTATTATTTTATTAATTTAAAGGGTTATTAAACATTAGCCAATATATTTATTAAACATTAGCCAATTGTATATATATATATTATATATTTTATTAAACATTAGCCAATTGTAAATGTCCAATCCAATGCACACCTCTACTGGTCATGTTCTTCCTTGCTTTTGTAAGTTAGGTTAACCATATCTTTTTAAAGTATTTAATTGCTAATTGTTACTCAAGACATTTAAAACTAGCAATGCGCCCAAATGTGCCTGCTTTACTATTTACTCTGTCTAATGCCAGACGATTTTACTAATCAGTGGTATACGGTCAGTAAATGGTTAAAAGTTGGGTAATTGGATTACATTTGTTAAAGTAGGGTGAACCGTGGTATGTTGCACTTGTTAAGCCAGTATTGGGTTGACATGTGAATTTGGATGGCTTTATTAACATATCAACTAAAGGTGCAAGGTTATGTGTCACATGCTTGTCATACTGTTCTGTTCATATTTGTAGGAAGACCTTCAGGCCTGCATATGGAAAATTGGACATACTGGGAAGTATCTTTGCAAATGTACCCTTTCTGGCTCTAACAGCTACAGCAAACAGTGAAACTAAGTCTATGATAATTGAATCATTGCAGTTAACAGATGTTGAGTTAATTGAAGTCAATCCAGATCGTGAAAACATATTTTATGATGTTAAGAACAGACCATCTCATGGAGATGATAAACTCGATCCCATTCTTAAACCTGTTGCAAATATGTTGAAAGAGCTAAAACTTCAAATGGAATTAACAATTATTTATGGCACACTGCAAACTTGTGCAGACTGCTTTTTGTATTTTAGTCAGGCTCTGAAAAAACATCAATATTTCCCTGAAGGATCGGAGCCTATTTCAAAGAACCGGCTTTTTGCACAGTATCATGCTGAATGCCCAGATCATGAAAAGGATAGGATTATTGAAGAACTTACTCAAGGTGTTTGTACTGCAAGAGTTCTTTTTGTTACAATTGCCTTCGGGATGGGAATAGACATTCATGACATTCGTCATGTCATTCACATTGGGGTACCAAAAACTATAGAGGAATATTTTCAAGAAACAGGACGTGCGGGTAGAGACGGATGCCCATCAGTTGCCACTATGTATTACAACAACTTCGATATTCGGAGTGGTAAACATCAAGTGGATGAAGTTCTGCGTGAATTCGCTACATCTAACTCGTGCAAAAGAAGTATTATTTTAAACTACTTTGGTCACAGCTTAAAAAGGGAATCAGACTTTCATAATTGCTGCTCATATCATAGATCAGTATGTAAATGTCCAACTTGCTTGGTTGTTACCAGCAATTCTGCAGAGGATCAGACAACACCAGCACCTGCAATAGAGCATGTTTCATATTCATGTTATCAGAAAACAAATATCAAGAATGATCTTGAAGCATACAGAGCATCTTTGTGCTATGGAAATTCATTTGCAGGCAACATTACTTTATCTACAGGCTTCAGTATTGAATTAATAGACCTAGCTGTGGAGTGTTGTTCTGCAGTTAAATCTGCAGATGATGTTTATAAAATCCTGCCTGTTTTCAGCAGAGAACATGCACATGCAATCTTTGAAATTATCTCTCGCCATACAACTTAATATAGAAGATACAACTTGAAATCAGAGGTCGCGGGAAGCATTTCTGAAGTGGAGTGGCATTGGTCAAAAAGGGCACTTTTCTATATGCCAAAATCAAAATCATTTTGAAATATATGATTCTTTTTCAGCGTATGAGCATGTTCATTCAAGAAATAAATAGGGCACTTTTTTCACTTTTTCCTGGGGGGGGGGGGGCACACATGCCACCATTGCCCGGTTCCGCGGCCTCTGTTTGTAATTATCTCCATGTTCAATAACATAAACTGTACTTGTGTAGGTAGTCATATTTCTATTCGCTAACATTTTCGTCACTACTTGTAAATGAAACTTCATCTTCATTAATATTAGTGTCATTGCTCTCCTCCGTGGCTTCATCATCATTTGAATATGGATTTGATGCTAATAACAATTTGTGTCGTGTTAACCATTTGTGCAAAAGAACAGCGTCTAATTTGTCCAGAGGTGATTTTTCAATTGTTTGGAATGACTTGTGATATCGATCTACGGTAAATTGAAACGGTTTCAACTTACGTAGGGTTTCGATCATGTCTTTAACGTCTTCTTCGCAGTTGCCATATGTGTGCGACGATGAATTCTTGTGTATGTTGTTTTGTTTGTCCAAATTGTCTATTATTACCTTTTGACAGTAGGCGCTCGTTGTGCTCCTGGTCACAGCTTTAAGTGTTTTGTTCCCACAAAGGCCGCGTAAGACAACTTTGTTGGCTTTAACTATGTGTTCTTGTTTCAGGTCATTAGCATAATTGTTACCTTCTCCACCTTTGGGATTGACAAATTGGCCATGTATAATCCTATGAGCCATCTTTTCTGAAAATAACGCATAGCAGTTCGTAATAAGGCGCATTGCTTCGAATGCATACTTCTTAGCTCTCTTCCGAGACCTCGAATACAGCATTAAGAGTTTCCAGTTCCTCATCATACGCTCCCCGTCACCTTCCCGTTCTGTATCGTCTAACTGCAAAAGGAAAACACCCAATTGAATCACTTGCATCCCATAATTGAGTATGCGGTCTTGACCTTTCTTCGATGTGGTGTCCTTCCTTGCCACTGAAGGCACTAACGGAGACATCATTTGCTGCGTCACATTCGCTCGTGTTCTATGAAGTGTAGATTCACTAGGTTGTTGCGTGTTTAATTGTGATGTCTTCGGCGTTTGTGAAGAAACAGCATTTATAGTTGGTACAGACTTTGATGTCTCAGATTGGCGGCTTCTAGCTTCTGTATTGTTTGGAGGAACATATTTAAACGGCTTTGCGGTTAATGTTTTAGGCCAGATGACAGACTTTCCTTGCACCAATTCACTCGTTTGATTCGTCTTGTACACGACATGAACCAAAACGTTCCCGCCAATCGAAAGCGGACTACCTTCATCAGACTTTGTGATTCCAATCGCTAACGGCTTTTTGCATGTGGACATGATAATGACGAAGTCACCTGTTATGCATGGAATAAAATATTATCAAAAAAATTGGTGACGATATCTGCATTTGCAACTTAATTATTGCGAGACGTTGAGGATGTCGAACACGATAACATTTTCGAGCGTTTTTATAGCACCACAAAAATTTCCTTCCAACCACACAAAAATTTTGATCTCATTGATCGTTTTTCTCGCAACATTTTCTGACAAGGCTTCGGTTTCTAAATTCAAACACGTAAATCGTAATTGTATTTTCGCCTTCCATTTACATTTTGTTTACACGAAAACGATAAAAATGACGTCAGTAAGAAAAAACCGTTTCGAATATAGTGGAAACGATGCAAAAGATTCGTTTTCTGTATCTGAAACGTTTTGAAATTGGTTGTTTTGGCCTTTTGAGTTTTGTTATCGTGTAAACATGAAAATCGCAGGCAATAATACAATGCCGTGTTTGGATGTGGAAACAGAAGAGACTGAAAACTATTGCCATATCAGAAAATGTTGCGAGGAAAACGATCAATGTGAACAAGGCGCCTGAACGCTTAATGGTTGAAAACGCCACTACAAAAAACGGTCGAAAACGTTACCGTATACACATAGTGTTGATCCAAACAATGTTTTATCATATACCATGCACGGTTAAATATGAAATCTCAAAACGGTCTCTCAGCCAACGATGCCGATTGGCCTTCGCTCGAAAGGTCCAGACTTCTTATTGTATCTTTATATAGTTGAGAACTATACCACAGTTTTAGCAATGTTAAATATACATTTCTTTTAATTTCAGTTGAAACTTAATATTACAACAATAATTATAATTATCAGTACAATAAATGATATGTATTAGCTGCCTATGTAGATTCATATAGGATTTCATGTCGATAAAGTATCTCTCACCTGTGTTAAATTTATGGTTTGGATTAAGATGGGCCACAAAGGATTGCAAACCGGTTTGAGCGCTGTCTTCTTTTCTGCGTGTACATTGATCTGCATTATTGCTTGAAGTAAGAACTTGGTTCACTGTGGACGACGTCTGTTTTAATGAACTTGGGTTCGCTGAACTATTACTTGTATGTGAAACAACATTTGGTGCAGTGGCTATATAAAAAAAATCACCCTTGATAAACATGTACATTCCAGAAGAGAATAGAACGAAACACGTCACTCTAATATACACCATTGCCACCAGTCCCTTTATTCGCAATAAATGCATGGCGATGCCTTATATGCTAAACACGATTTACAGTACACATGCAATGATCAAAATGTCGTAGATGCCAAGAAATCTTGAAACTTGTATACATGGTTTTTGAGACTGACGTGCAGGATGTGTCGTTATCATATATAAGACCCCGGAGTATAAATTCAGTATATACTGTACACTGTATATAGAGGGCATAGACGGATTTTCGGGGGGGGGGGTTGCTACCCCCAATATTAGCTACAACCCCACCCCCCCCCGAAACAAAATGTACACCCCTCCAAAAAAAATTTCAACCCCCCAATGAATGACTTTATACCAATGAATGACTCGTAATGAGTCTAATCAGACAATCATCGGTGCAATTGTGCTTGTAAAAGTGTTTAAGTAAAATTAAGTAAAAGTTTTTAAGTACAAGTTTAGTGTTTTTTTCAATTTAAGTAAAAGTTTTGAAATATCAATTATGTACAGTACAGTATGGTAGTTCATAGTATTTCAAGTTGCATCATAAATTGTACTCGGATTCAAACAACACAATGTCAATGACTTTATAAAAGTAAAAGTATATTGTGTATTGGGTTTACACTTTACACTTTTACATGTTCATTTAACTTTAAGTATTTAACTCTCTCAAGTCTCAACAGACAATCGGACATGCCAAATCCATTGATATGACAACTTCAAAAAACTTTTTTTCGAAGCTATAAATCATGATTTTTTTCAACTTTTTCCTGGGATACTTTGTTTTCTGCTCTCTAGACTCCCCCTCGCGGCTCTAGTGCTCCACCCCTAGAATATAGACCTTACTGAGGTTTGGTGACACGTTAGTGAGCTTAAGCAAGTGACGTTTTTGACAACACGGACGTCGACCGGAAGTAAAGTTGACGTTTTTCACCAATCACAGCCCTTGACCCAGTCTTCTGACGTTACTCATGCCGTTCGTGTTGTCAAAAACGTCACTTGCTTAAGCTCACTATTGTGTTGCTTCAGTCACCTGATCACGGCTCAACTCCAACCTCGTACCCAGGGCTTTTTGCTTTCTCGGTCGGATGGTCAGCGAAAAAGGCCCTGGCATCGGCTGGTCTGTTTTGCAATCTGATTGGTCAATGATTTTGAATATAATTATTCAATATACGGGGGAAATAATTATTATTTTGGTGAAACGAGAGTGGAGTGACAAATTTATCATTAGTTCTTGAAGGACTAAAGTATTGAGTAAATTAAAATTAAGTCTTTGTACATTTGTATAGACGAGTATTTGATTCGGTTCAACATACATTTCTCACATGCGTTGTTTATACATCGTCGATTTCAAGAAACGTACAGCGTTATACTTATAGTCAAAGATTGTGATACGAATATATTTGCTCATAACACGATTTATATAAAACAAACGGCAAACGCTGAAGCGGTTTTGTTTTGTTTGGTTGTTCATTAAGAATTGAGCAAGAATTGATCGGACTATGTTGCTGAATGAGGTGTAAACAACGAAAACCGAATAAAGTCAACTTATTTCGTTGCTTTCCCTTTGATTATATATACGCAGCATTGAGTTTGTTTACTCCTGTCAGTAATTACAATGTATATCATTATTCTATATACGTATACTTATACGCATAAATTATCATAATTGAACACCCCAAATACTGGAGATTTTGAGGTCATGTGACCGGCCGATGCCAGGGCCATTTTCGCTGACCGGAAGCAAAATACCCTGGGTACGAGGTTGGGCTCAACTCCCTAAAATTTCTGGCACCACCCCCAGTAAAAATATGAAAATCCGTCTATGCATATAGCATTGTCTAAATACAGACCTTGAGAACGTTGATCACAACCAGCCTTTTTTTCTTTCTTCCAATTCCTCTCTACGTCCAATTCAGGTAAGACAAATTCGTCTACAAAATTCCCGATCACTGTTGTGAGGAAATTCTCTTTAACACGATTGGTACATTGCGGCGATGGAATTGTAATGTCTGGTGGGTTCTCTTTCAGGTTTTTCATACCGGTCCACTCCATAAATGATTCACATAGGTAAGCTGCCGTCACCTCTGACATGAACTGTGCAGCAGCTTTATAATTCTTCTTAACATCTGCATAGACACTATTCTTCCTCAACTTTTGCCGAAGATTATAAAGCGTTCCGATCTCCCTGGCACTCTTGGTGTTATAAAGTTGTTCCCAAGTATACTTAAAAGATAAAAACCTGTTGTCATTTTAGGAAAACTAAATATTATCACGTAAAAGATTTATTATATATTAGAGAGTGAGACACTGAAAAATACACAATGATATATTTTCCGGCCATATCTTCGCTATTGAATATATCGATCACGTAGCAGTTTAGTTTTGAGCGTGAAATTTCACTTTTTTTTTGCTTGGGACTATATAATAAACAAACTATATAATAAATGCCCGCGTACAGGCATTGCTCTGGGTACGAGATTGGTAAGCCCTGGGACAAGCCAAACCGGAACACCACAAATTCTGGTGTTTTCCGGAAGTAAACGCGTTCTGCTGCAAGCTAAAATGCTGACTTTGCACTAATTTTTACTGAGGAGTGGAGACGTGTTGGTGAGCAGAAAATATTGGATTTTTCTTTTGTTTCGATGTATTTTCCACCATCAAGGGAATATGTGCAGACCACCTAATGGAATTATACATATTGGGGTTTTATATTACGTTATATTTACGAAATATAACCATATTTCGGTTTCGTATTACATGTATCAATTTTCATGTATGATGTAATATGATGTAAACATGATCGAGTCGAAATGTGCTCGAAGTGGTCGCTGTGATTCGAAACATCATGGGTTCTTGTACAGATGACCTGTTTCAACACGCGCTTGTAAAGTCACTTCAAAGACTGGACAAAGCCGGACTGGAAATTAAAGAGAAGTAATTCGAAGCTTTATCGTCCATCGTATGTTGTATATTAAAAGGAACAAGAACGACATGTGAGTCTGTTTACTGGGTTACAACAACGACAATAACAATGAATCACCTAACATTTCAAGAAAATATAAATTATAGATAGATGTCATGTATGACGCCATGAGTTTTGGATTTGAATTGCTAGAATTAAATATATATTATGTACACAAAATCATGCTTGCGTAAATTTGAGCAAAAAAGCACAAGGTCTTTGTTTGGCCATATGCCCATCATGTAGTATGAATATTGAACACCGTTTTACTGTATATAGCACGTTTAAAACGTTATTTCCATGCAGGATAATCCTGAATCCTTCACCGATTACATGCCGTGGCAAATGAAGAAAAATAATTATGTAAAATAATTAACCTAATATGTCTTTGGCCATGAATGCAACTCACTATGCTGCTTGATACATCTGACAGTCAAAAACTATGTGCATGACTGTATGGCTCAATGTATGTTAATTGTTTCAGGGAAATTTTTGTTTTCAGATTAAAGTATATAACAATATTTTCTGCATTCCAATATATTTTAATCTACATGCAAGTGCACCTTCTGTTTCAGATAGGGGCCAAATCATTTGAGGTCGAATGGGATAGCCAATGATTGGAGGGTAATGTTAGCAAATTTGACTCCCATACATAATGTCAAGTTATCACTGGTCAATTTTTAAATTTCTTACAATTTCACATCAGGGAGTTCATTGCCCCCCCCTCTCATTATCCAGAAGTGTGACTAAGTGTTTTCTAGTATCTATCCAGGTGTCCAATCTAAATCTCCACCACAACAGGATGTATACCTGAGTGATGGTAAGGGAGGTGGGGTTAACATTCTGATTTATCAATAGATTACTACACATTTCCACATTAAAAATATGAAAAGTTTCCCAGTTCAATAGACTGTATCTATAGCAGGAGGCTTAAACCAGAATTTCTGAATACAAAGCAACTTTTATGTCATTTTTGTAATGGTTTAAAATCAATTTTTATACAGACATGGTAGGGTGTCTCCTGGCTAGAAGCCTGCATATACATATACAAATTTTCAGTTTTGTCAATAATAATAGTTTATTTTATAATTTCAATTCTTACAAGATTTGCAATAAGTCAACAGAATAAGTATTCTATTCTGAACTGTTGACAGGAAACAGTGTAAATACATGATCTCATCCAATATGACACAAGAATTCGAGACCCCCACCTCGGGCATACCAGGGGCATTCACTTAATTTGGTGTGTGAAATTCAGTGAAGTCCCCTGCAGCCAGGACAAAATGGCAAGGTAAATTTCTTCGGTCCTATCATCCCCAGGTATTCAATTAGAATTTTTACATGAAATTTCCCAAACCATTCCTTTACTGTTCTGTAAAAGCCTTTCCTAGCCGACTGCTTTATTTCAGCATTTATATAAAAGACTACGCCTTTCTTAGCCAAATGCTTTATTTCAGCATTTATATAGCCAACTGCTTTATTTCAACTATATAAAAGACTAAGTGACCCCCCCCCCCCATGACCTCATTCATTCCCGACTTGGACACTGAAAGTAAGTGTCTTCCCTGTTTGCCAATAAATGATAAACCTGTGAATAAGAGGCGATTGTCCTTGCATTCCCCTCTGGTATGCCAAAGGTGCAACGATTCAAATGACTGGTGAAATTGAATATGCTTATAAGCTTATTCACTGTATTTAATTAAAAGCTATTAAAATTACTCGCTAATAATACAACTGAGGAAAATTCAGAAATAGTAAAATACATCCATAATATTCCATATGCTATATTTATAAATTCCAATTGGCCATTTTAATATAGGGCCATTTTAATATAGGCGGGTATTAAATAGACCAAGTGATCAATACCAAAAGCATAATAATTAATAAAACACAATATGTCCAATATATTACACCATTAAAACTTTACTATCGTAACTATATATTTTTAAACATTTTATATTTACAGTGTGCTTAAAATTTTACAATTATACTTGAGCACAATGTTTTAATATTAAATAGACAACTTTATAACAAGAAAATGTTAAAATGAAGAAACTTTTTAATGGCTTCATAATTGACGTTTCTTCGATATTGTTGCTTACTTCTACTTTATAATTGTCCATTCTGTTATTTTCTTTCTTTCTGTTTGCAAATTATCTCCAGTAATCCATAGAAAACAAGCAGTTTGCGTTTGTATTTCTTCGAATTTCGAACGCGCACTCCTTGAAGGCAGCCATATTGCAAATATAAACATCCACTTGACGAATAAACTTTTCATATTTCACTCTATTTTCAACGACCAATCAAATCACTCCTGCCTCAGCTTGTCCCAGGGCTTACGGCAACGCAGGCAGCCGAGAAGCCCTGGGAACGAGGATGCTCCGCGTTCTAAAAGGTAAACTAGGTACCAGGCGTTTAGTGAATACGCGAACTATGGCGAACTATTCCTGCTTGGATAAAAATTCCGGAGGGCAAAAATTCTCTTCAACGATTCAATAAAACTGAAACGAGCTCAAATTTTGGAAACGAAATAAAAACAAAGTGACTATATTACCGGCAGCCGGTCTAACTCTCAAAAGGTTAGGGTTAGGGGTTAGGGTTAGAGAAGGGTTTGGGATTGGGGATCGGTTTATCTATCTTATACTGATTACTGAAGATTCAACTTTTAACTATATAGTCAATGTACTGCCGGCCATTTAGTGTTTGATCAACCGTGAGCTGCCGGTCATATAGTCTCTTCAATTCGAAATAAAAACTACAAATTTACATGACGCAATAAGATATACGTTGTTCTAAGTCTTGTTAAGATATAAGTTGTCCTATAACACTAGCATTTTACATTTTCTTGCTTCGAAAATTTAAGTAATAATGTCTATACTATTTTACAATTTTGTATTTTAAGAATTTCATTTCTTGTCTTACGAACATATTCTTAAAGTAAGAAAATCGTATTTTCTTATTTTAAGAAAATGTTTTCTTATTAAGAAAGTAAGAAAATCGTATTTTCTTATTTTAAGAAAATGTTTTCTTATTAAGAAATTTTTTTCTTATTTTAAGAAAAAGATATCTTGGGATTCAAAAATTTCTTATTTCAAGAAATTTTTTTCTTACTAAGAAAATTATTTTCTTATTTTAAGATTTTTTTTCTTAAATTAAGAATTTTTTTTCTTAATAAGAAAATGATTTTTTGCTGTGTTAATTTGGACATTCACACCTGTACGGATCAGAACCAGGTCCATCTTTGAGATGAATGATCGTCTTTCCCCCATTTTTGCAATTCTTCATTTTATGACATGGAACCTGCGAAGCGAATATGTTAGAATTCAGCTCACCGTAAACTAAGAGAAATTCAGCCTGCATGCAAATTTAATTGTTTAAGCTGAAATAACAGAATAACATCACAAGTTACAGGTAACTACAATAACTATTGGTCCGGTATTTTTAAATGAGAACGAGTTTTAAATTAAATGATAATATATACCGCAGTGGATGTCCTTGAATATAGCTAACTTTTTTCATTAAAAATATTTTCGGAACTATAGAGTAAAAAGATGCAATAGTGCATCCAACTGTAGTATACAATTTTCTCAAAAAATGTATACAATTTTCTCTTAAATATAATCGAGTCCAAAGGATGAGTCCAAATTGGATCGAAACCATTCTATAGGCTGGTTTTTACACTACACAACTTTTGCCTAAAACTGTCGCATGCAACCTGGTTAAAACTTTAGTTGTACTGCGTAAACCAAGCACACTACGTCCTCACTCGCATGCTGCCATGCTGCATGCATGTTTTGTTATATACCGACGAAGTAAAATAACCTACTTAAACGGTTTCAGCATCATATCCTGTTGCCTGTTGTGTATTTTTCTTCTCTTTTATACATTCGTTATTTTAACAGAAACTTTGGAAAATAGTAGCTTCTAAACTTGCTAGTTCTGCACATATATTTTGTTTATTTATATACACCTAGCCAGTTCGGCCGGGTAACGATTTTTCACTTGCTGCCCAGTGCATGGGATACATTGCATTTATGTTTGGTGTTCACCCTATACAGAGGCGTAGCCAGGGCTGGGGCCGGGGGGCCCGGGCCCCCTGGCAAAATTTTGGGCCCCCTCTGATAAAATGTGTTGTACTAAAAAAGAGAATCCTTGATTATATAGCTTCATGCTGTCAATAATACTAAAATTCTGTAGAATATATGCTTTGCTGCGCATCAGTGTGAAACCTACTGTAAAATCTTGTTCGCTTATTTGCGGCACACAGCTTGAAACATATATCTTTTCTAACCTTAATTATTTCAATATGTATTAAATGTGGGTTAGATGAAGTTTAACCCAATCTGGGTTTTTTACCAGTGAATTTTTAACGCGGGCTTGGTGAAAAATCACATGTGTCGACAATTAATTTTACCCAGCACTGCAGAGAATGTCTTGCGCGAACTTTGCGTCTCGCATGGGCGTCAATCCTGGGGGGATTGGAGGGAAGCGTACACTTTGGCAAATCATTCCAAACTGAAACGGCAGAATAGGTAATACTTTTCTTCATAAAATTAGTTTTTGGTTTCTTTAAAACAAAATCCGTATTGTTGTTGCGTAAATTTTGATTTGAGTTGTTTTTCATTTCATATTTACCAATCATTGATTGTGGCAGTTTAATTTTATTTTTAACGTTGTATGCAAACATTGCTTTCTTTTTTCGTAACTACTGCCAGTGATTACTCGTGCCGCTCTGTTTTGTAACTTTTTCAGTTTTTTTAATAAATAATCCGCGCATTCATCCCACACAAGGCTGCAATAATCAAAATGGGGCAAAACTATTGCATCGTATACTTTAATTAATGTAGAAGTAGATACATATTCTTTAATTCGACGTAGGATACCTATGCCCTTAGAAACTTTTTTCGTGATATTATCGATCTGTGTGTTCTATGTTAAATGATCGTAAATTACAAAGCATACCACCGGACCTTGCTAATTTTGAGTACTAGTCCGCCTCGCCCCCGCCCCCCTTTTGGGATGGATTGACGACCTTGGCGTCTCGAGTCACTGGCGGTTTGGCCCATTGAACTATAAATAAACTGGAAGGCTAACTCAGGGGGGGGGGAATTGAAGCCAGTGCATTTTAGTTTTTCTGAGTTATGAGCAGAAATACTCAACACTGAACGTTGGGCTATATATCAAATTGAAGCTATTGAAAAACGCTATTTGGTGTAGAAATTTCAAGACTTTAGCTAAAAGGGAAATATTGAAAAACTACAAACATAATTACCGATAATTTGCCGTTTTGCAGTTGTTTTTGTATTTTTTAAATATATTTCTTTTCGCTGAAGTCTTGAAATTTCCACACCGAATAGCAATTTTCAATAGCTTCAATTTGATATATAGCCCGACGTTTGTGGTCAAGTATTTCTGCTCATAACTCAGAAAAACTATTTTGGCTTCATCAAATCATAGGCCTTCATCATAGCAGTTAGCCTTCCAGTTTATTTATAGTTCAATGGTTTGGCCCCACCTGGGTTTTTGCTGGCCCCCCCTGACCAAAAATCCTGGCTACGCCTCTGACCCTATAGCTATCTAACAATACGGTATATATAGCTAATAGGAAAATTTGTGAAGATTGCAAAATTCTCATGCATTCTTTTCACTTGTTGCATGGCAAAGTTTATTAAGAAAATATTTTACTGCAGTTTCGTACCTTTCTTGGAGCAACAGGATGATAAAATACCCAGCCTTTGTCAGCAGCATTGCAATCATGAAAGTTGTGATCCAGCGTGTGTGTTAACTGGCAGTTTGGAGTCTTCTTCTGGTGCTTTTTCTTAAAATTGTATCCGGCACAGAATGGATCTTGCAGGCAATCCATGGCACAATGAATCTGGAAATCATACGTCACTTCAGACAGAATATCTTTTATCAAAGAGCAAACATCTACAACGAAAAGAAGACTTATCAGGCAAAGATGATATGGAACCTTGAAAATCAATATATATAACTCTATGAATTAGAAGCAAGAATCAGGATTAAGGATTTCCCAAAAATTAAACTTACCTCCATACAGCAAGCGAAAAGGAATCGCCACGTTCGTGAAATCCTCAGGCATGCAGTATTCTTGTTCCATTGTAACTGCAAGTGGGAACACGATCAGGAACAGAAATCGTGCAAATATGAGCGCTGTTCGAAGAAGGCGTTTCATTTTGTTGTTATGAGAGAATACAGACTCAGTTGACCAAATTTTTGTTTGTTTTGTGAACGTCGACTGTAAAACTAAACTAAGTGATAACTTTTTGGGCTATGGCACGGATTATCCCATGCAGTTATAAGGTCATTAAACATGTACAGTATACATTGCAAAACTAACAGTGAGATTAAAAACGTGCGTAGGTCTTGGCATTTACGGTTTTCCACTTTGGTTATTTGAGCGTCAAATTGCCAAGTGTCTCTTTAAATCGTCTGTCAAAGCTTCACCTGTTTTCGGGCAGAAGCATTGTCTTCTTCTGGAACAAATTTAACGCAAATATAAATTTTAAACACCAATACTAGCAGTTTTTTTGCGCTGATAGCTTCAGCTTAAGCATGCATGCACATATCATATGAAATTCAAGTAATTCCAAAAAGATGTTTGCATATAATTCCAGTACACTAGTCGAAATTAATTTTGTATTGTGCTGTGTACTGTGTGTAGAGACAATACCTGCTTAGCCCGCTAATAAGGCTTAGGTCATTAAGCAAAGTATTTTTAAAAAGCAACATTGATGTGAATAATATAAAACTTTGAAGAAAAAATTTTTCTTATTCACAATAAAATATTTACTTAAAATCATTTGATGGGCAATAATATGTTTGAACGCCGTTGTTTCGTGAGTGCAGATGTTAATTTTCATGTTGAAGTTTTTCGCATTCATAGTAATTTTTTGAACATTGACATTAAGATGGCTCGACACAGTTTCTTGAAAATAATGGTTATTTTCGAATTTTTTTATCTGCCTTTCTTTGAAAAACACAAAGTAACTATTTTACGGACGTGAAACAGGATCTAAAGTGTTCAAAAAAGTTAAACAGCTGCCGTTGCTATGGCAACAGTGACGTTTCAAGTAAGACGAATATTTTAGCTTTAAAGTGATAGTCAAGTTTAACTCGAAAATGACATCGGCGAGTCTCAAATTCTATTTCACACAATGGCTTTTCTTGGTATACTTAATTTAATTATCTTTGCGATTCTGAAAAGATCCTTTTGATCCAAAAAAATTATGAATTTATATCACATTTGACGATTTGTGTAATTTGAAAAAGTTTGATTCAACACAATTTTTTCACAGTAAAACTGTCAAAATAATTGAGTATACATTACAGAAAATAATTGTGTATACGTACATACAGAAAATCATTTAAAAAAAATTGTGGGTTAGCGATGACGTTTTCGAGTTAAACTACTTCAAAGCAAAAATATACGCCATTTTGAAACATCATTGTTGCCATAGCAACGGAAGTTAAATAACTATTGTGAAAACACTCTTTAGACGTTGTTTTACATTAGTAAGATGAATTTTGTTTTTCAAAATGTAATACGCGTTCAAAACTATACGGATCTAAATCGAAAATTCTCTACTTTTTAAAAAAAAATGAATCGAACCAACTTCATCAAATAATACATTATTTGATTTGGAAACGCAAGAGAGGCAACAATAACTAGTTTCTTCATCTATACAATATATATCTTTCTTCTTTTAAAACCAGAAACAGTAAAACCTTTCTTCGCATGCGGACAGCACTGCAGTCGCGTTTGTGGTGGACGTGCAACGCTCAAAATACAGCTTCAGCATGCTTTATTAGGTGCTGCATGTCGACTTGAAGTTTTGAGAGTCAATGATAAAATCATATTGAACAAGCTCCCTTAAACAATTTACTGCCGGGAATATTATTATAAAGTAAACCTCTAATAGCATACAAAAAATCTAATAGCATAATTTCCACGTATACATGTCAATGACCACAGAATTCTTTTCGCGCAAAATGCCATTGCATGGCCCCGAGTCCCCAAGCGTTACTGAGAACAAATCAATTAAAACTTTTTTGCTTGGGAAAATGGCGAAAATGGACCTTTCCCCTTATGATCTAGACAAGTCTAGACAAAAATTTCATCACAGCTTGAAAGAGCACCACAAAATTAGTAATATTCCGAAGTTTCGTTGCGAAATGTTGTAAAATGGGGGTAATACAGCCCTGCGAAATTTGCAATTTTCAGTCATTTTGTATTACAAACGGGAAATTGATGCCCCAACACCCAATTGGGCTGTCAATTTCCCATGCGTAATACAAAATGACTGAAAAACGGCAAATTTCGCAAGGCTATATTATCCGCATTTTACAACATTTCGCAACGAAACTTTGGAATATTGCTAATTTGGTGATGCTCTTTCAAGCTGTGATGAAATAATTGTCTAGATCAAAATTTTTGTTATAAGGGGAAAGGTCCATTTACATACAGTTACAGTGACAGTGTATATGTTTGCAGCAATATAGTAGCGAACATGCTTTTATTTTTAAATTAACTTAAACAGGTGTAACTCTAGTATAGACTTCTTTGCGGTAATACGCAGCAGTTTGTATAAATTGTTTTCCAGCAGTTTCTATAACAACCTAAAACTGTTTACTTTGAGACACTTATATATAGCCACTGCGTTTATACAAGCGCAACTTTTCGAAAGGTTGTGTTAATTAAAAACATCCTAAATAAAATATAAGACAGCTGGTATAATATTAGACTAAGTGTAATAACCCATGGCCATGCACTTAAAGTGCTACTGCAGCGAATTTTTCGACCCTCATTTTTTTAGCTTAATTAAAAGTGCTTTCCTTCCTGACCTGTTTACCACAAACAGAATTGAAATTGGTCAATTCAAACCGATTTTATAGCCTTCCAAAGTGGCCATTTTTGGCACTTCCTGTGCGAACTTTTGATCGGCCATGTTGATGCCATGTGACGTCATAAGATGAACACGATTTCATCATGGCGTATTAAAATTATAGTAAAACCAACAAACGCGGAGACGAAGGCCGTGTTTCTGGCAGTTCTAACTGAGATTATTGCACGAATTCTGAACAGCCTGAAGGAATACCCATGCATCCATTTCCCAACAAAGAAACAGATCCACAGAGTGAAGTAAAGTCAGTGAATTTTAACCGTAAACATTGACCGCGGATTTTCACGCATCTGCGAGCCTAGTGTTTTGATTGACCCCGTTTTGAAGATTCGTGCTATATCTTATTTTCATTGACAAAACCTCGTAAAATGGAAAGAATACTGAAGGAAGAAACTGTTTATACAATGCCATGTAATGGCTAGAATTGTTCCCCTAGCTGAAGTACAACTAACAGACGCAAGGCAAATAATTCAGGTATATAGTACAAATTAATATGTTCGCACATATGGTGAATATTTTGCGCAAATGATGCTATATAGTTAGTCTAAAGTGTTTGACATTTCTTATGTTTTAGAGCATTTGTGGTTGTAAAAAGACTATCTCCTGTTAAGTTAGTTTCTTGCCCAGAGCATCTTGAGATTGAAATAAAGACAACAATTCAGCATGCCTTGACCTAGTTTCGTCAAGACTTCTGATGACATTTTGAGAGAAACCATGCCATTGGAGTTATATTCAGTCATATCAATAATATATTGCATAGTATAAAGTAACAATAAATATAATAATACAATAGTATAATATTATACTGGTACGCTATTAGGCCTATGTGAGAAATATATTTGTGACTTTGAAGATTAATATAATTTCAAAATATTACAGTATATGTGATATTGCACAGTAGGACAATTTTGACTCAATGGTTAACTGACTCAGTCTCAATCTGCCTAATCCAACTAAAGTCGACCGCTTTTCTGCTCAAACGTAAGGCAGCTGTGTCTTTGTTGTTGGAAATTATTTTCTTCTGTTTTTCCATCCAAGTAAAGCTATAGCCATCAATAGAACCACAGCCCGTAAAAGGCGTAATTGCCAATTACACCTATCGCTATCTATTGAAAACCAAACCAAAATCATTTTGAGTATTGCGACTTATTAGGCTATGAATATGCTTGCGTTTATAAATGTTTTTATATTTTTTGTCACACACAATCCAGTTTATAATAAATATTAAGTTACACACACCAGATGTGTTCAGACACAATACCGAGGCGAGCACAATGCAATATATATATATATATATATATATACATGCAATAAAAAGGATCTACTTACCACTAATTTTACAGGTATTGTACCATCGCTTGATTGCTCCAACACAGTCACAGATGGTGGTTGCCTATCTGCAGCGGCGTTATATAATTTCTCTATCACTTCGTCTAGTGAAGCTGTATAAAAGCTGTTAGGCAACTGGTTCATCATCGTATTTCAAAGCCGACTTAGCCGAGTCCATACTCGTTGACTTCCAGATGCAGTACTGACCCTATTATCTGCATCTCTAATCGTCATTCCGCCGTCAAATAAACAATAAGATATAGCACTTGTTCTTCGATTTTTAAAAGTCAGTTATCTGCGCCATAAACAAGTGAAATAGACAAAAATTCCACTGCAATATGTTGACGCGCCATATAATTTACTACAAATACGACCTTCATATCTTCGTTTCCGTTCATCTTATGACGTCACACGGCATCAATATGGCGACGGAAAAGTTCGCACGCGATAACCAACTTCAGAGGTTAAATTTGGCAACTTCTAAGCATCGCATGATGGTCAAATATATATGAAAATGCTTCTAAAAGACTGAATTTTTATTTAAGCTAAAAAAAACTAGGTCCAAAAATTCGCTGCAGTAGCACTTTAAGGTATAGCATATGACTAGCAGTTACTATCGCAAGGAAAGCGCTGCCTTTTCGCCACATGAATTAACTGAATGCAAAATTAAATTGTTGTATAGTTATACACATACTATGTTTATATCATAGATTTAAGCCAAATCACAAACTTATTCTTAGCGGAACATGAGTGTATGACCAACATGAAAATGGGGCCATGGGGTCAAAAGTGGATAAACAGCATTATAGTCTACTAACCTATTATATTAGCTGGCAATGCATCCTACTTTAGTATTATCTCTGTCTAACACAAGACAATGTTACACTGTGTAACCTCAGACAATTTTACTTGTCAGTGCTAAAGTATACTTCCAGTAAATGGGTTAACAAACTAATCTGCCAATGTCTCTTATTAACCCATTATCTGGCAGTGCGCCATACTTTAGTATTTACTGTCTATAAACGCCAGACAATTTTACTCGTCAGTGGGTAGAATATACTGCCAGTAAGTGGGTTAACAAGAACCATAACATATTTCAGATTGAACTAGTTAAATTCTCGGGAAACTTTTATAGGCGGAAAATTTCACACATGAAGACAAAACACCAAGACTGAATGATTACATAGTCTGTAGTATTTTAGGAAGATATTTAATATAGTAGACATAGTATAGTCTTTACAGCAGCCAGAGAGTTGAGAGATATGGAAGACAAATTATAGCATGACAACAGCTAAGGCCACGTTCACATGAGACCGGACCCCCGGTCCATATCCGCTATATAGCGGATTCGGACCCCTGTACGGTACATATCCGCTAGCTGATATTCCGCGGAATTGGACCCCCTAAAATTCACAGAGAGAAGAAATTTTTAATTCCACGATTAGTTGTGGTAACCATCTATGATGTCATTATATAGATAATATATATATATTCTCGAGATCAAAATTATATACTCTGGTCCCAACACTGCATGCGTTCTACTGAGAACAAATTAAACTTTTTTGCTAGGGATGCTGACGAAAATTGTGTGTATATATTAGTTTACATACAGTGACAGTGTGTATACAAGTATATTTTTGCAGTAATTTAGTAGCGAACGTGCGTTTGTTATTAAATTAACTATACAGATATGACCATATATAGACTTCTTCGATTATACGCATGCAGCAATTTGTAAATTGTTTTCGAGTTTAGACACTTATAGCCACTGCGTTTATACAAGCGCAACTTTTCGAAAGGTCGTGTTAATTACACACGTCGGGCGTCCCAAATATAAGACAGCTGGTATAATATTAATGTAACAGTCCATGCACTGCAGGTATAGAATATGATAAGAAATATATATATATATATATATATATATATATATATATATATATATATATATATATAAATTAAGATACAACAAATAAA